TATTGATCCGTTATCGATCGGTTATCGATCTGCTATCGGTTATTGATCCGTTATCGATCGGTTATCGATCCGCTATCGGTTATTGATCCGTTATCGATCGGTTATCGATCTGCTATCGGTTATTGATCCGTTATCGATCGGTTATCGATCCGGGATCGGTTATTGATCCGTCATCGATCGGTTATCGATCCGCTGTCGGTTATTGATCCGTCATCGATCGCTTATCGATCCGCTATCGGTTATCGATCCGTTATCGATCGGTTATCGATCCGCTATCGGGTATTGATCCGTTATTGATCGGTTATCGATCCGCTATCGGTTATCGATCCGCTATCGGTTATCACCCTTATATGGCAGGTGAGGGGATTTGGGGATGCTTATCGATCCGTTATCAATTGGCTATCGATCTGCTATCGGTTATTGATCCGTTATCGATCGGTTATCGATCCGCTATCGGGTATCGATCCGTTATCGACCAATCGGTTCTTGGTCAGCTCTTGATCAGCTATTGGTCGGTTTTTGGTGAGGTAGGAATCAGCTGTCAATCAGATATCAATGAGTTATTGATCTGATATTGGTCTGGTATTGGCTATCAGTCCCATTCAGATCCCTTATTGATCATCAATTGACCTCGATCACTGCAGAGCTCCATTGGTTCCAATTGATCCCAATCGATCCCGATCAATCCTGATCAATCCCAATCAATCCCGATCAATCCCAATTGATGCCAATGGCTCTGTATTGATTACCATTGGTATTTATTGCCTTGGTTCCCATTGATCCCAATGGCTCCAAATCGACCGAAGTTGATCCAAATTGACCCAAATTGACCCAAATCGACCCAAATTGATCCAAATTGACCCAAATTGACCCAAATTGATCCAAATCGACCCAAATTGATCCAAATTGACCCAAATTGATCCCAATCGACCCCAGGTACGAGGAGCTCACCAACCTGATCCGCTCCATCCGCAACGCCATGAAGATCCGCGACGTCAGCCGCTGCCTCGAGGTGCCCAAAATCCCCAATTCCCACCCCAAAAATCCCCAAAAATCCCCAATTCCCACCCCAAAAATCCCCAAAAATGCCCAATTCCCACCCCAGAAATCCCCAAAAATCCCCAATTCCCACCCCAAAAATCCCCAAAAATCCCACCCCAAAAATCCCCAAAAATCCCACCCCAAAAATCCCCAATTCCCACTCCAAAAATCCCCAAAAATCCCCAATTCCCACCCCAAAAATCCCCAATTCCCACCCCAAAAATCCCCAATTCCCACCCCAAAAATCCCCAATTCCCACCCCAAAAATCCCCAATTCCCTCCCCAAAAATCCCCAATTCCCTCCCCAAAAATCCCCAATTCCCACCCCAAAAATCCCCAATTCCCACCCCAAAAATCCCCAATTCCCACCCCAAAAATCCCCAATTCCCACCCCAAAGATTCCCGAATTTTACCCCCAAAATCCCCAATTTCAATCCCCAAAACCCCCAATTTTCCAGCCCCAAAATTCCTCATTCTCCACCCCTAAAAATTCTCTTTCCCACCCAAAGTTTTCCCCCTTCCAATCCCGTTTTTCTTCCTCTTCCCCCTCCCCAAATCCTTCCTTTCCCTCCTTTTCCCCGATTTCCTTCGCACCAAAAATCTCAACTTTAATTTCAACCTCAACCTCATTTATTTATTTCTTTTAATTAAATTCCTTATTTCCCCCCCCCCACCAAAAAAAAACCCCAAAAAATTCTTTTTTTTTTTTTCTATTTTTTTTTTTTCCCCAGTTTTTTAACTCTTTTTTTTTTTCCATGGAATTTTTCCCGGTTTTGTTTTCCCAGGAATTTGAGCTGCTGGGCCGGGCCTGGGCCAAGGCCAAGGGCGTGGTGGATCGGGATGGGGTTCCCAGGTTCTACCTGCGCATCCTGGCCGACCTGGAGGATTACCTGAACGAGGTGGGGGCAACGGCGATTCCGGGCGTTTTACGGCAATTCTTGCCCGGCTTTTTGGGGTTTTTTTATGGGGTTTTTTAAAATTTTTTTTTAAATTTTTTTGGGGTTTTTTTTGGGGGTTTTTGGGGTTTTTTTGGGGTTTTTTGGGGTTTTTTTTTGGGGTTTTTTGGGGTTTTTTT